TTATAGAAAATTTTAATATGCCTGGATCTGGATATACTCCACTTGACATATCCAGTTTCCAGTAATGAAACCAACAAAGCCAGTGCATTGTTGGTGCTTTACGGCCTTATGTCCCAGGGACCGGGGTATCCTCCATTTTTTTGACACCTAATACCTTTTCTTTTTGTCTCTTCCCACAGGGACCACTGGGGACTTGTGGACTACTTAGAGTTCTAGATTTTTTTTTCTGTTTGTTAGCAGCACCCGATTTCCTTTGTACTCAATATCCACTATACAAGGTCTTACAGGCAGTGTGCTTTGCCTAATATCTGTACTCTTTTGAAAGGACCAACTATGTGAATAATACTGTCAAATTGTTTTTGATATACAGTATATGCATTTTGTCATGAGGACATTCTGTATATATTTAAGTGTGGGAAGCATATCCTCTACAGCAGAACCTTACATTGCAATGGTTTTTCTGTAAATTGGGGGCAGGTGCTTTTGGGTGTCTGCTATAAGATGTGACCTGTAGCCTGTAGCTGTATAATGTTTTGGTATTGTTATATTTTTTAAAAATTCTAATAAACACACATTTACAAAAAAAAAAGTGTTTAAACATGTGGTAAGAAATGTGTCTATTTGGAAGTTAAAATATACAAGTGGTTGGTGTGGCTTTAGTACCCAATGCAACTGACCTATTTCTTTTAATTTCAATGCATGATAGTTCATAGTATCTTTAAATACTTTTTATTTGAGGTAACCATCCTTTTAAATGTGTTCTGTTTTTAAATACAGAGGGAAGTTGTTATGTAAGGTTCTTATCGCTGCTTGTGTTTCCCTTGGGAAGATTCAGCCTCACTTTATGTCCTGGAGACACTGAACAGTAAGAGAGGTGAAATCCTCAGCCGGTGAGGGGAACTCTCCCAATGGGGACACTTGTAACAGAGTGCTATGAAAAGGGCTTGTCTGGCCTCAGGTGGTAAGCAGGATAGCTGTAGCAATGGCTCCAAAAGAAATCAGTATTTTCAGGGATTTCTTCATAAGCAAGGTAGGTGCAGTGATGACTCACATAATTCTAGTTACATCATTATGGTAAGATAGTGGTGACCGGAAACACAACAGGGTATAATCAGAAAATGATTAGGTGTATTCTGCATCTCTGCATATCACTACGGTTTTAGGCCCCATGTACAAAGGACACTTCTGAACGATGGAAACCGACTGCTGGAAAACGTAGGTTAAAAAACGGCTGTTTAGCCGCGTTTGCATACCACGTTTATATGTGTTTATGAGCGTTTGCGTTTAGAAGTATTTTTTAAAGATAACCTCAGGAAACCTTCCAAAATGCCCACAATGCACTGCAAATTAGTAAAAAATTAACTATTTCAGACATTTTGAGAGAAATAGAGAGAGCAGAAGCAGAGAGAGCAGTATTTTGTTGAGATTAAATGTCTTTTTTTTGTGGTGTTTGGATGTGTTCCAGTTCATTTGTGTGCAGAAATTATTGCAGCAGTGTCTAACATATTTTCTTTCATGCAAAACCTCAAAGTACGGTGTACCAGGTCCCTTTGAGTACCTTGAAAACGCTTTGCATGCATTTTTCATGATGAAAAAAGGCTCTGGACAGCATCTGGAAATGGAAGCGTTAAAAAAAATTTCAAATGCAAATTCTTATAAACGTGGTTAGCCGCGTTTAGTTGTGTTTACATGCATTTACAAGCGTTTGGCGCTTGAAACGCTGATAAAATCTACTCCTGAACACAAGTTTTCTGCGTTCAAAAAAATTACTGTAAACTTTACTGCCTGTAAACGACATAGTGTACATGGGCACATAGGAAAACATTAGGTTTCAGGGGCTGCTGGAAAAAAAACGCTGAACAGCTCCTGAACGTGAGTTTATCAGCTGCAGTGTACATGAGCCCTTACTTGCATTTAAAGAAACAAACCACATTTTGTATCAAGGCAACTCATTATTTTATTGACTCTGAAAAAATAGTGAACCTCCAGAACAGCTTTTATGTGAATGAACAATGGTTGCATTAATATTCGGGGAGTCTGACATTCTTTTTAGAGCATGCAAGTGGTCTATGGCAGTCCCTTGTTATATGTGAGCAGTCTATGATTTTATTTTTGTAACAAGAACAATGTATCTATAAGAAACTGTTGTAGCACGGCAATAGTCTCTGGCAGGCTTATGAAACCTGGGGTTAATTTACTAAAACACAGAATCTGGTGCAGCTGTGCATGGTAGGCAATCAGCTCCTAACTTCAGCTTGTTCAATTAACCACTTGCCCTCCAGAAGATTTACGCCCCTTTCTGACCAGGCGATACAGCGCTGTTTTACTTTAATTGACAATTGCGCGGTCATGCAACTCTGCATCTAAATTAAATTTATGTCCTTTTTTCCCACAAATAGAGCTTTCTTTCGGTAGTATTCGATCGCCTCTGTGGTTTTTATTTTTTGCGCTATAAACAAAAAAAGACCGACAATTTTGAAAACAAAAAGAATACTTTTTTTTTTTTGCTATAAAAGATATCCAGTAAAAAAAATTTTTAAAAATCTAATTTCGGCATAAACTTAGGCCAAAATGTATTCTGCCTCATGTCTTTGCTCAAAAAAAATCCCAATGCATGTAAGTTAATTGGTTTACGTGAATGGTATAGCATCTACAAATGACGGTATATGTACTGAAATTTTTTTAAAACTTTTTTTATACTAGTAATGGCACCGATCAGCGACTAATAGTGGGACTGCAGCGGGCATTCTGACAGTGGGGGGGGGGGGGATTGACTAGCTGCCACTGACATCTCCAGTGATACTAATACAGTGATCAGTGCTAATAAAAAGCACTGACACTGTCCTAATGACACTGGGCAGGAAGGGGTTAACATCTGGGGCAGTCAAAGGGTTAACAGTGTGCTTTGTGTGTTTCACATTATGTGCTGTGTGCTGTTTTACTATGTAAGCATGCTGCTTTGTATTGCTCTGATATGCAGAGCAATACAAAGCAGCATGCTGATGCTGCCAGGGGAGAGATCTGAATTGTTTTCATACAGACCTCTCCCCTGTCAGTGTTCCTCGACGATCACCGGGTGCCGGTGGGGAATCTCTGGCTAGGACCCAGTGATTGACAGCTGTTGCTGCCAACGGCAGTGTGGGTAGGGTGGCGGGCATGCCCTTCTACCCAGAAATTCAAAATACGTGATTTTGCGCAGCCCTGCCGCCCTGTAGCAGTAGTTCTGCTATAGGGCGGCATGGAAGTGGTTAGGCTTTAACAATAAAACCTGGAAGCTGATTGGTTTCTATGCAGCCCTGCACCGGAGTTTGCACACTTCAGTTTTAGTAAATCTCCCCTTGTCTGTCTATTTCAACATGTGAACAGGACAGTGGATCACAGGTAGGGTTGTGTTTTTATACAGTACACATAAAAAATGCATACAAGGGAGCTGTATTACTTGTTAAATGATTTGCATTTCTGTCTATTTAATCCTTTGATGTACATAGCTCTTCCAGACAGCACAGCCAGGCAGATGACAACACTTTCCCTGTTACAAATGAGAAATACATTGCTGACAAGCAAAATGAGGACATCTCTCTGCTAACTCTGCCCTCTCCTTCTATCAGCTTGAATTTTGCGTCATGTTTGCATACAGTTCACTTGATTTACTCACAGTTGCCTCTCCCTCTCCCAATGTATGTGCTGCTCTTCAAGTGAATTAAAAGAAAATGTGTCCTTTAGAAGGACAAAAAATAAGGAAAGAACTATTTTTAGACTACAGACTATATTAAATGATAGTAAATCACTAAGAAATAAAATCTTCTCCCTGCAAGTTAGGAGCACAATGTGCTAGTATGCATCGCATACTAGCACATTATGAAAAACTTACCTGAAAACAAAGCCCTCCAGCGGAGTCCTGTCACAGCTTCCCGAGGCTTTCATCTTTACCCTCTGGGTTTGTGGGCTACGAGCCTCGGTGGCGTCTCGACCGTGGCACGGCTCTCTCAATGGACGGCTTGAATGGTGAAAATCAAAAAAGGTGCTTGAATGGTGAAGAATCACTACGATGTGCTCCGGATAAATAAAGTTTATTTGAAAAACACAGTGCTCCACCCTAACTTAGTGTTTCCTCCATCTAAAAATATTCCTACTTGTTTCTGCTCTAAAGAAATTGCTTTGTTTAAAGTGTTACTAAACCCAGGACCCTGCATTCACTATATCCGGTCTCCCACAGTGCACGCAACATGGAAGTGCAATTATTTTAGTAAATATAAACTGCTAAATACCTTTTTCTCATCAGCTGTTAGAGCAGTTTTGTGACTTCTATCAGTGTTCAGCAAAGCACTGGTTAAAGCTTGTAGGAGGAGTTTTCTTTCTGCTTTAGGAGGATGCAGAATCTCTAACCTCTGTCTGGACAGTGCTGATTGGCCCTGTGCTGATCACATGCACTCTCCCAAGACAAAAAAAACCCCTCTAGCAATACACACTAAACTGAGCATGTGCAGAATGGATACGGTTCAGTCTGTCTTATCAGGAGATAAGATGTGGGCATTTGAACAAGAGGAGGAGCAGAGAAGTCAGGATAAAATGAGCTTTTTAAACAGTGCAGAGGAGTAACCCCTTAGGTTCCACAGTGAGTATAACAAGCATGCTTTACTGCATATACAGATGGATTTTACTGTTGTGGGTTTAGTAACACTTTAACCGCCTCCCGCCTGCCATATAGTAATATGACGGACGCAAGGTGGTTCTCTCGTTCTGGGAGGATGTCATATGATGTCCTCCCATTCTAACCGCGCATGCACGGCTCCCGGCGCGCGCAGTGCGGTGATCGGTGGTGGGCTGTGTCCCTCGGACAGAGCGGATCACTGATCCATGGAAAGAGCTGAAGACGTCGGCTCGGTCATGTGATCAGCTGTGTCCAATCACAGCTGATCGCATGTAAACAGGGAAATTCCGGCTATCGGCATTTCTCTCCCTACGAGCTGTCACGCCGGTAATCAGCATTCCTCCAAGGGGACATGTACACTGATCATCAGGGCACTGATGATCAGTGTGCCCTGATAATCTGTGTAGCCCCAGCAGCGCCACTTGTCAGTGTCCATCAATGCCAGCTGTCAGTGCTCATCAATGACCCTGCCAGTGCCCATCAGTGCCTCATCAATGCCACATATTAGTACCCATCTGAGCTGCTTTTCAGTGTCACCCATCAGTGCCACCTATCAATGCCAGTCAGTGCCGCCAATCAGTGCCACCTATCAGTGCCAGTCAGTGCCGCCTATCAGAGCCAGACAGTGCCGCCTATCAGTGTGCATCAGTTCCCATCAGTGCTGCCTATCAGTGCCAGTCAGTGCCGCCTATCAGTGCCAGTCAGTGCTGCCTATCAGTGCCACCTATCAGTGCCATATATGAGTGCTGCCTTTCAGTGCCCATCAGTGATGCCTGTCAATGCCCATCAGTGCCACCTACCAGTGCCTCCTCATCAGTGCCCATCAGTGCCACTTATCAGTGTCCATCAGTGCAGCCTCATTAGCGCACATCAGTGAAGGAGAAAAATCACTTATTTACAAAATTGTATAACAAAAACTAAGAAAAAACATTTTTTTTTTTTTTCAAAATTTTCAGTGGTTTTTGGTTTGTTTAAGAAAAAATAAAAAACCCAGAGGTGATTAAATACCACCAAAATAAATCTCTGTCTGTCACAAAAATACAATAAAAATTTCATATGGGTACAGTGTTGTATGACTGTGCAATTGTCATTCAAAGTGCGACAGTGCTGAAAGCTGGAAATTGGCCTGGGCAAGTGTCCTGTAGGCTAGTGGTTAAACATGTACTTTGTTTACTGATTCTGAATGGGAGGATCTGCACCCATTATAATCAGCTGGTGCACTTTAGGTGCTTTGATGAGAAAAGCTACACTCATTCAGACATAATTAACCCTAAATCTCGGTTCACACCTATGCAGGTTGCGTTTGGTGTGTTTCTGCATTGCGTTTTGCATTTTTGCCATGTTTTTGATGCGGTTTGCCTTTTTTTTTTATTTATTAAATTTTTTTTCTTGCTGCTAGGCAGATTTAAAAAAAAAATGCTGCAAAAAGGCATCAAAAACACGACAAAAACGCAATACATGCTTTTCTGCAGCATTCCCATTCCCATTGAAGTCTTATAGACACGTTCAAACCAGAGATGTGAACGTGTCCTATAGAAAATCATGTTAAATGGATTGTACTGCGTTTCTGCAAAACGCTGCAGAAAAACGCTTATGTGTGAACCTAGGGTTAAGGAGTATCTTACTAAAAATGTAATTTCTGTTGCAAAGAATACCTAAAATTTGAATTGCACTTTAATGCAGATTGTTATATTGCATGGAATTTTACAGAAAAATACAGTGCAACAGATTGAAATTGAAAGGCAATTTTGAATAACATTAAAGTGGTTATAAAGGCAAAGGTTTTGGTACTTGTCTGTTAACTCACCGGATTTATTTATGTATATATATATATATAAATATATATATATATTATATGTTTTAATTTAAATATATCAAAAAAATATATTATATATATATATATAAAATATATATATATATATATAAAAATAAATAAATCCGGTGAATAAACAGACAAGTACCAAGGTTTTTTTTACCTTAATACATTCTCTGAAGTGTGCAGCTTTCCTTCCTTCCCTGACCTCCTTATACTTATCTGTGCCCAATTTTAATCTAGCACTGTGTATGAGAACAGCCTCATAGGCAGCTCTCTCCCTCCTCTGAGACAGCAGTCACATTGATGTCAATCACTGTCAGTGAGGAGGGACAGGGCCAATCTGCACTCTGTGTGTTTATGGACACACAAAGTTGGCTTGGGAGCGACATTGCACGATTGTCCCCATAGCAAGTAGCTTACTCTGGTGGGCACTCAGTGGGGGTAGGAGCAAGGAGCACCAGTGGGGGACCCAAAAAGAAGAGGATCAGGGATGCTCTGTTCAAAGCCATTGCACAGAGCAGGTAAATATGACATGTTTGTTATTTTAAAAAATATATAGTTTTAACAATTACTTTAGATTACAGTATGACTTGTGTAGCAATTGTATATGCTATATTAATATTATTTTTTTTAAATTTGTTATATTTTCTCCACAAAAGTGGAGTTACCTTTTCACTGCCACCAAAGTATGTAATGCATCAGCAGAAGTGGGATATTTTATACACACTCCTGGCTGCTCTGTGTAAATTTAAAAAGGCCTGCTGTCGATGTTCAGGTAGAGGGTGTCTTAACAATTGCCCCACCATGCACACCTTTGCCATGTGTCCAGAGCTCAATGTTCCCATTGGTGGACCTGGAATTGGAATGTTATGTGCTTCCGGTTGGGTGGGTGCTGTAGGGAAGGGAGCCCAATGGACACCTGTCTATTGATTTTCCCTTTCTACTAAGAACCTGGAACTGACATGTAAAATGCCAATTCTCTGGCTGTTGTGAAGGAGCTAATGGAGAGTGATCTGCACTTCATTGGGGTCACCTTAGGGAAGGTGAGACATCAAGGGTCTAAAAGGCCCCTGGTGTTTCATTAAAGAGAACCTGTTCCCTGTGTAATAAAAATTTTACGTTTTCTGGAAAAAAGTGTAAATAAATAAAGGTACACCCTAGCACTTAACCCCCCCAAAACGAAAAAAAAAGTTTAAATCCCCCCCCCCACACACACACACTGTCACATACAAATATAAACACATGCATTAGGGCAGCCTATATATATTCCTGCACTAGTGAACGCCAGAGTGAGAGCAATAATTCTAGGCCTGTTATTCACGGTTAACCCTAAAATGATGAGCTGGAAGGGTTTCTGAAGTGTCACCTATGGGAAATTTAGGGATCCAAACTTTGTCACCATTTCACAGGCACACACAATTTTGAGACTTGACATGGTGGGTATCTATGTACTTGATGCCGCTTCATCATTTTTATTTTACCAACAAAAGGGAAATATATTGCATATGTGTGCCCTAAAATTAACTTTAGTGTATTTTTAACTGAAATGTTGTGCTTGGTAAACTGTTACACTAATTTTCATGAAATCAAAACGATGACATAACAGATGGCAATACCACCATTTTATTCTTCATTCTCCAGTCTTATTTGTTTGCTTTCAGAAAATATATAGTAATGTATAATATTTTGGCAGCTTTAGGTAAACTTCTATTCTAAAATTGTTTTTCAAATGTGTGCAGGAAATGCAAAATTGGTTCTGGCAGTGAAAGGGCTAATGCAAGCTTGTAGCCAAGATATGGCCATTCAAGCATTTACATATTCTTACCACACAATGATACAAGCCTTCCTGACCTATAAAGCTGCAGGCACTGTGAAGCAATGTGCCTTTAAAATACACAGCAGAAGCACTGACACTGTTCAAGTAATTCTCTCTGCAGCTCAGCTCACTCTGATCCATGGCTCCTCTGCAGACTGAACTGAATTAATAACTTCAATGCTTTTGCAATGAAATGTGAGGATGAATTGCTCCACAAAGCTCAGTGAGAGCTAGCTTTACATCTTATTTTCTGTTTGTTAAAAATTTGTAAATACTTGAATGTCCATGTCATGGATACTGAGTGCAGCTATCCTGTGAAACAGGCATAAGCAGAAAAGGGTTGGTTTGCAGTGAGAACACCAGACACAAATATGATATAAAATAATGTAATTTATTAGGAATAGCATTAATACCACAATAAAAACAATGTAAACTCACCTCTAATATAACAGATCTGCATAAACCAAAACCAGAGAATCTAATGAGCAAATGAACTAACAATGAGCAACTACCTAAACCAAATACAGTGGGGCAAAAAAGTATTTAGTCAGCCACCAATTGTGCAAGTTCTCCCACTTACAAAAAGATGAGAGAGGCCTGTAATTGGCATCATAGGTAGACCTCAACTACGAGAGACAAAATGAGAAAAAAAATCCAGACAATCACATTGGCTGATTTGGAAAGAATTTATTTGCAAATTATGGTGGAAAATAAGTATTTGGTCAATATCAAAAGTTCATCTCAGTACTTTGTTATATATCCTTTGTTGGCAATGACAGAGGTCAAACGTTTCCTGTAAGTTTTCACAAGGTTGGCACACACTGTTGCTGGTATGTTGGCCCATTCCTCCATGCAGATCTCCTCTAGAGCAGTGATGTTTTGGGGCTGTCGCTGGGCAACACGGACTTTCAACTCCCTCCAAAGGTTTTCTATGAGGTTGAGATATGGAGACTGGCTAGGCCACTCCAGGACCTTGAAATGCTTCTTACGAAGCCACTCCTTCGTTGCCCGGGTGGTATGTTTGAGACCATTGTCATGTTGGAAGACCCAGCCATGTTTCATCTTCAATGCCCTTGCTGATGGAAGGAGGTTTGCACTCAAAATCTCCCGATACATGGCCCCATTCATTCTGTCCTGTACATGGATCAGTCGTCCTGGTCCCTTTGCAGAGAAACAGCCCCAAAGCATGATGTTGCCACCCCCCCATGCTTCACAGTGGGTATGGTGTTCTTTGGATGCAACTCAGCATTCTCTCTCCTCCAAACACGATGAGTTGTGTTTCTACCAAACAGTTCTATTTTGGTTTCATCTGACCATATGACATTCTCCTAATCCTCTTCTGGATCATCCAATTGCTCTCTAGAAAACTTCAGACGGGCCCAGAGATGTGCTGGCTTAAGCAGGGGGACACGTCTGGCACTGCAGGATCTGAGTCCCTGGCGGCGTAGTGTGTTACTGATGGTAGCCTTTGTTACGTTGGTCCCAGCTCTCTGCAGGTAATTCACTAGGCCCTCCCGTGTGGTCCTGGGATTTTTGCTCACCGTTCTTGTGATCATTTTGACCCCACGGGGTGAGATCTTGAGTGGAGCCTCAGATCGAGGGAGATTATCAGTGGTCTTGTATGTCTTCCATTTTCTAATTATTGCTCCCACAGTTGATTTGTTCACACCAAGCTGCTTGCCTATTGCAGATTCAGTCTTCCCAGCCTGGTGCAGGTCTACAATTTTGTTTCTGGTGTCCTTCGACAGCTCTTTGGTCTTCACCATAGTGGAGTTTGGAGTGTGACTGTTTGAGTTTGTGGACAGGTGTGTTTTATACTGATAACAAGTTCAAACAGGTGCCATTGATACAGGTAATGAGTGCAGGGAGTGGAGCCTCTTAAAGAAGAATGTACAGGTCTGTGAAAGCCAGAAATCTTGCTTGTTTGTAGGTGACCAAATACTTATTTTCCACCATAATTTGCAAATAAATTCTTTCCAAATCAGCCAATGTGATTGTCTGGATTTTTTTTCTCATTTTGTCTCTCATAGTTGAGGTCTACCTATGATGCCAATTACAGGCT